TTTATACACGATGCTTAGGCTTCCCGTGTGTTCCTATTTCGCAATTTTACCGTTTAATTAGACGTCTGAGCTTTTAGAAGTAGTAAGTAACGCTTACCAGACCACGTCATCAGCCAAGTGTGTTGTGTGTTCTACTGGTCTGTAGAGAAGGCGTTGGGCGGTGCTGGCCGATGTGGCGCTATTCTCATAATCCTTAGTACCCTCATATCAGGATAAGTATTAGTTTCGGCACTACTATCATTTAGTTGTATTATTATTACTAGCAGTAGCAGTATTATTACCACTGCACTGCTGTTGGATTGTCTTACTTTATTGGTATTGTAGTCTATTATTTAATGGTATTATTAATTAACAATACCGGTAAATATTCATACTTAAGTATGACTATATGTATTAATAAAGTTACTAGCAACTTACGTCTATAGAACATCTGAGGAATGTTTAGCCCTAGCGATTCGGATACCTAGTTGATATCTACTTTGTCTACAAAATATATGTCAATTAAATATATATTTTTAGCGATACTTGGCAATCGGCGATATATGATGACGGCTCACGCTTGGCACTGGATCCCTTTACTTCATGAACTATCCCTTTATTACGTTTTACCCCAATGGACTTGCAGTAAAGTTAACTCGGAAGCCGTTTATTAATATAAAACTTTATTTTAAAAATGGAGAATAGGAAAAATATGAACATGGGCGCTTCCAGTCGCTCATTGCTGGCGTTCACAATTCTGTATCCGTAAATGGCCCAGCAGTGGCCTCTACAAGTCATTAGTACGTTTAGAAATTATTAGTTGGCTTACCAGCCGGCAGTGTCTTCTTTTTTTGTTTAGCTAGACCTTGACTGGAAGTGCCTAGCGTCGCCTCATGTCTCCTTACTATTGCATGGTCCAGGTCCGACAGCTTCCATTTGCTGTCGGAGTTCCAACTGCCGAACACCTCTAGGCATATATAGTTAATGTGAGATATACCCAGTAGGACTTCGTAAAACGTTGACTTATAAATGGCCATTTTAGTTTTGTGGCCTTTTAAGTTAAGGAAGCGGCTTATGTCGTATTCAAAGACGGCCGAAAAGATCCGCTCCACGAAATCATCGATGGTTCTGCCACCGAGGCAGCTGAGGTAGGAGATCTTTATTG